GTGTTTTGTTTTACTTTTTACCAGTAGGTTGTGCCTTAAGAAGATGTATAATGTTTCAAACTGCTAGTCTGAATTCAAAGTGACACAGTGAAATAACATTGTCGTACTGCTCATAAACTGAATCCAAGCAGCTGTTAAAAAATAAATTAATAAAAACGCTTTTTTTTTTTCATTCTTCTCAGCTCCTATAAACCTGGCCATCATTTTTATTCACTTTGACCCTCCTCAGAAGGAGAGAAGAGAAATACTAAAGGGAAGGCAAATGAAGATTTTGGAGATAAAACAATGATGAGACTATGTGCTTCAGAGAACTTTAAGTATTTTAATTGATTATTAAATGAATTAAGGAAAACTCTGAAAACAAAGAGTATCATATGTTCATGTTAGCCAAACAATTAAAATAACTGACATTTAACAAACAGCTACATATTTGAAGGTACAATATGTATCTTTGGACTTTCTGAATGCATTAACAAAGTAATGCCTATATGAATTTGGTTTTACATTAAAACTCCTTTTTGCAATTTTATGCTGAGATGTTGAAAGGAACATTTTTAAACATTTTAAACGCTAATTTAAAGACCATCCTATAACTGAAACACTGCCTTTGATGTTTACATACATGTTTATTATTACACATCCAATTCTTCTGGGACTCCTAAAACTAACTGCGAGATAAACTTTCCTGAGAACTTACAGAATATATGCAGAAATAATTCTATAATACAGTTTCCACACCAACCCCCACAGAGGGGGGGAAAAAAAACTCTACAGAATTGCAATTGTTTAAATTAATTTTGAGTTTTTCATGGGCTTTATGTAACAGACTTTTTCTATTTATTTTATTTTTATGAAATCATACCACCATGTTCAATCAGGTCATATATCTACACATATATACTTATACACATACACAAAATATAATATATACAGCATATAGGTAGATAGGTAGGCAAGTAGGTAGACAGGTACAGGTAATAGCTAATTTTAAAATTTTGTTATAGGAGTGTTCTCCTCATGTATTTTCCTTTTTTAAAGATTTAATAGATGTACTCTGCAAGTTGCAATTTTGTTTCCCAGCAGAACTGTAGGTTAACAGAGAGGGATTGCTTTTGGTGGTTCCTCACTGAGAGATTAAAACAGATTACAACACTAAGAACACATCTATACAAATGCTTGGGTAATTTGCTAGATGATCAGAATATTTATGAAAATATGTTTTGGCTGTTCCTTTACAATCAAGCCAGAATCTCACCATTTCTCACAACTTTTTTTTTTTTTAAAGATTTTATTTATTTATTTGACAGATAGAGATCACAGGTAGGCAGTGAGACAGGCAGAGAGAGAGAGAGGAGGAAGCAGGTTCCCTGCTGAGCAGAGAGCCCGATGTGGGGCTCGATCCCAGGACCCTAGGATCATGACCTGAGCCGAAGGCAGAGGCTTTAACCCACTGAGCCACCCAGGCGCCCCTCTCACAACTTTGATTACTACAAAATTCATGGTCCATATCTCTATCTACAGTTTCTGGGATTATTTCTATAGTCTTCTAACTGGTCTGTATTTCTTTCTTTCTTTCTTTTTTCTTTTTTTTTTTTTTAAGATTTTATTTATTTATTTGAGAGAGAAGAGAGAGCATGCACAAGCAGTGGGGAGAGGAGAAGAGAGAGGGAGAAGCAAGCTCTACACTGAGTAAGGAGCCTGATGTGGGGCTCAATCTCAGAACCCTGAGATCATGACCTGAAACGAAGGCAGAGGCTTAACCAACTGAGCCACCGGGGTGCCCATTAACTGGTCTATTTCTATCCTCACTCCTAGTCATTATTCTCTTGAGAACACCACATTACCTCAGCTTCACAACAGTAAAGGTAATGTAGATCTAAAGTCCCCCCAGGCTTCCCCTACCATGATCTAATTCAAGTCCTTACCAGGCCTACAAGGCTGTCCATGATGGGCCTTTCCTCTGCATCTTTGACCTTATCTCTGACAAGGGCAACAGGGGCCCCTTTCACTGGGGGCTGCACTCAGCCTGCTGGCCTCCTTACAGTGGCTGCTGGATCTTTGTGGAAGATGTCTCACTCAGAATTACTACACAAGTCATTTCTTGCTTCCTTCAAGTCTCCTGAAATCTCACCCTGTCAACCTTTTTTTTGACCACCCATTATAAGAGCCACCACTCTCCTTACTATTTGCATCCCCATACCCTGCTTTCCATTTCTCAAGCTTGACTCGATCACTGAAGACAGTGCTTTTGGATTGTCTTCCCCCAGCTAAGTGGAAGCTGCTTGAGTAGAGAGAGGGTATGGGTCTGTTTTGTTTACTGCTCTATCCCCAGAAGCCAGAGTGGGGTCATGGACTTAGTGGCTTCCCCATCAATACCTGTTGAATGAAGGAGTGAACGTTAGTTATGGACACTGAACTTTATTTAGATAAGAAATTTTAGGCCAGCAAAATGGACAATTATTCATCCACTGCAGGAAGAGAAATGTATTTGGTATAACTTGGAGACAGACTTTTCAGATGGCTTTTCTATATTATGTAAGTCAATTTTAATAATGTTATGTCATAATTTTACAAATCTCAATTTTAATCTAGTTAAGAAAGAAAATCCTCCAAAAATTTAATAAAATAAATGCAACAAAATAAATGACATGACTCTTTTTATGAATCTACCATTAGCTAAAAAGAGGTCTATTCTTACAGCTTTAATGGAGATGTATAATAAGTGAATAGTTACAAAAATCATTACTAAGTCATAATTTTCTGTTTTAAAAATCATTACTTTCAATGATTAAGCCATTTTGATATAATATAAAGACTATAGTTAGCACAGCAATCCCTTTTTAATTGTGTTTGAAAGTAAATAATAGTGCCACTCATTCTCTTAGATTGACACTTAGACACCAATCATTTATTGGCAGAGATGGTAAATGTGTGTAAATAAAAATATAAATATAAAACATACATAAAATATAAAATATAGCTATAACAACTATAAATATACATACATATATAATTTTTTAAAAATATAGTATATGCACTATTGACTCTTCTGTACCTCATTATGCTTTGTAAATTTACCTAATTTCATAATTACATTTAATGAACTGTTGATGTAAAATATTTTCTGTTATTTTTCTTATTATTCAGGTAATACATATTTGCTCCATTTAAATTAACATTTGTAAGTCATTTAAATGTAGCTATTTTTTAGGGCACCTGGGTGGCTCAGGCATTAAACATCTTCCTTTGGCTTGGGTCTTAATCCCAGGGTCCTGGGATGGAGCCCCGCATCGGGCTCCCTGTTCAGCAGGAAGCCTGCTTCTCCCTCTCCCACTCCTGGTGCTTGTGTTCCCTCTCTTAATCTGTGTCTCTTTCTGTCAAATAAATAAAGAAAATCTTTGTAAATAAATAAATAAAAATGTACTTATTTTTTAAGAAAAAATAAGTGACGGCTCTTACTGACTTGTTACTGAATAGGAAAGAAAGAAACAAGCAAAACAAGAACAAACAATAAAGAACTAAAGTTAATAAGAATTTGACACATACTTTTTAAACCGTACTTTGAAAATGCAACATAAATGTATAATTTTGCTGAGTGAGATCATGTGGCTAAAGTAATTTCTAGAAAAGATACAATTTATGTGCAATAGTGAAAATAAAAAGTGATAAATAATCTGTATGGAAATTGTGTTTCTTTTCAGTATTATTTTTATTGCCATACGTATTATTTCTCTGTTGAAATTCAGAGTTCCTGAGCAAATATGGAAACAGAACCCTAATTAATGGGAATAGCTGCAAAAATATTTCTTGTAAGCTAAAATAATCACAATTATTAAATGTACATAATATATGGCAGTTTGGGGGAAATAGAACATACTTTGCAGGAGAGGGGAAAGCACTACTAAATTAAATGAGTTTCACTAGTTTGTCTGCAGTCCATTATTGAAAATTCCTATAATTTGCTTCACTGTTATGGGAAACAATCTACACATCCCAATCATAACTATGATTTTTCTGTTTCTCACATTTGCATATCCCTTCTTCATGCCAACCCAACAAAAGACAGACTAACCCCGCTAATATTTCTAATTGTGTTCTCCCCTTCTGCAATTCTCTTTTGTAGCCGTCTATTTAATATTACTAAATGGTCTTTCATCCCAGTCTGCCTTTTCCTCCCTCCTTTTCTCCCTCTTTCACTCTCCATCTCTTTCCCTCTTTCTCTTCTTTATCCTTCCCTCCTCCTCCCTCTCTCTCCCTCTCTTATGAGTCCTTCTTTCCACTTACCTCCTTAAAACCCCCTCAAGGCCAGCATTACCCTTGCTCACTTCTTCCATTCCTCAGGAGTTCAGGTTACTGACATATGGATTCTTCCATTATGATAGAAACTCTCACCAACAACGTGTGAATTAGGTATTTATATTCTCAGAAAAGTCATGAAAGGGGCAAGAGCAAGCTTGGTGGGGTTAGAGTTTACTTCTAAGCCTTATTTTTTAATTAATCTTTTTGTTTAAGTTTGTAACAATAAAAAAATTAAATTAAAATTAAATTATGAAAAACATTTTTATTTTATTTTTATTTTTTTAAGATTTTATTTATTTAATTGAGAGAGAATGAAAGAGAGAGCATGAGAAGAGGGAGGGTCAGAGGGAGAAGCAGACTCCCTGCCAAGCAGGAAGCCCGATGTGGGACTCGATTCCGGGACTCCAGGATCATGACCTGAGCTGAAGACAGTCACTTAACCAACTGAGCCACCCAGGAGCCCTGAAAAGTGTTTTTAAATAATTTAATCATATTAATAGGCTTGTTTCAACAACAACAAAATAGATCTGTTGAATTGCAGAATACAAGTGCCTCAAGAAGTGAATGCCTAAGTCACCTGGTCTTTTTTAATTTAAAAATACTATTAATTGAAGAAAAAATTTCTGTCATTTACAACTTTTAGTCATTTTGTTCTTTCATTAACAGTGGATAGTCAACTGTCCAAGAACTTGTCTATGTACCTTTTTCAATTTGATGACTCCTTCTTGCGTGTCCTCATCTGTGACGATGTCAAACAAATTCCCCCCATCTCCTGGAACGATATTGTATTCGATTTCTGCATTTTGTCCAAAATCAGGATCCACAGCTCTTATTCTTCCAATGGCCGAGCCAATAGGAGAAGACTCAGGAACTTTCAAATGGAAGATACCTGACAAGAAATGTATAATTCATGTTGACAGTGGAGTTAGTAAAGTATATAGAAAGATTACTAGGATAGAAAAATCTACTAGATAAAAAGTAAATCAAGTTTAGAACATAATAGTGCAAAATCGAAAGCGAGTTTGCTGTCAAGTTAAGAATTATGATTAGGAGTAATAACTTCACTTTTCACTTCAATAGGTCCTGCTCTAGAATTTAATTAGGAATTATAAATAATAAAGTGTGTGAAATTTATATTATTGTAAGGAAGTATTTTACATACTAACAGCCTCAAAGTGAACCTACTATCAAATGGAAGGGCAGAAAAATCCATGTAATTAATTGGTACCAATACCACAGAATCCAGGATATAAAATAAAGAGAGATAGATGATTGATAGATATTTCTAGAAAGTTAAGGTTATATTTCCTAATATAGAGAGATATTATATATTTTCTTATATATATTCCATACACATATAGACAGCATTTACCCAGTAAGTATAAATCATTAAGCCAAAAACAGCCTGTAAAAGGATTATGTGTTTGGTAAACCAAAATTTTAATTCATAATGAATTTAAGTATTGACTAATATTCAACTTAACGTTTAGTGTTGTGTAGATTTTTACTGGGTATCCTAAAAAGGTCTAAAATCTAAACTCAGGATATAAAGTTCTATTTGCCCCTGATTTTTTTAAATTTTTATTTTTAATTTTTTTCATTTTTCACCACCAGGTGGAGCACATATATTACTATGAATTTGATACTGAGCCAGAAAAACTCAGAAAAAAATCCTATCTATATAAAATATACTAGAATCAGGAAAAATTTGTAATATCTCTTAAAAATAAAAATATATACATCACTTAAAAGAGTTTTAGAAATTTCATATGGCATAACATGAAGAAAAAGATATAAGCTAATTTACTGACCTGTAATCAAAATATGTATTAAAGGATTAAATGGCTGTTTGTTTAAATAAAAATAAGGAAAGGAAGAGTATGGGAGGAAGTAAAAAGGTAAATGCAAAACTAATCTCAAAAATACAAAATTTAAATTTTGATGTCTGCTTTCCTGTTTCAATTTTTATTAACGTATTTTGGGTTGTCCTTTCCCATGGTTAAAGTGGCCAGAGTAATTAATTTGTTTAGAACTTCTAGTTACATCAATAGAAATTAAATTAGGAAGCCCTTTAATATGTTTCTTGAATGGTAAAGTTCATTCATCAAACTACCTTTCAATATTTCAGCTATTGGCCTCAAGAAATATAAGGAAAAATAATCAATCACACCTTGTAGCGATCTTGCCAAATACTTTCCTTTTTATTCCCAATTATAAGTCTTGTAGTTCTTTCACTGTTTCAAAATGTGGTTATTTCATTAGCCCTGGTAGCAGTTCAACCTTGTCATATACAGCTCATGTCCCCCCCCCCATAAAAAAAGATATCCACCACTTGCTCCTGTAATGTTAAAATCAGACTTTTTTACATTCAGTGGACATTACCTCATTGAAACATCTACTTAATCTGAAAAGAGCTAAATATTTACCTAAATTTGTTTGATTCCATGTAAAAGAGAAAGTACATTTTTACAGTGGTCCAAAAATAGTTGTTCAATTAATCTGATAATGAACAGTATGCCTGCCTTCAAAGGGAAATATGTCAAACCTTTCTAAAAGAACAAATTTAAAAGTTATATAAATAAATAAACCAGAACGCAGGCAAATAATAATAATCTAAGTGGTAATAATAGAGTGTTACATAGATATTACAAAGGAATTTTAGTTAAAGATGTCATATTAACTGATCAAGCTAGCAACTTTTCATAGGTTAAGATTATGTTTCATTAGATTTTGTTCCCTAAACACTTCACACAGCGGCTGTCCTAGAGAGATGCTCAAAGTTTGCAGGATTTACAGTAGAGTTTGGACTTGAGGCAACCAGAGCAAAGAGGAAGACTAAAATCATAGGTTACATTGTGTACACATCGTCTACAAGAAACGTAAAGAGATATCCAAGGGGAATTTGAGTTCAAATAGCCATGACTACATAAACTGAACCTAAAGTGACTTCTGCAGCCTACTTTCTAGAGAGTGTGTTTCACAAAAGCCATATTAAACCCTGATCCGATTGAAGAACTTCTGAACACTAGCAAATATGATGAAACCTGAATTCCTTTTTAAAAAGTATTTTACTATTTATTTGACAGAGAGCCAGAGACAGAGTGAAAGCACAAACAGGAAGAGTAGCAGAGGGAGTGGGAGAAGCAGGCTCCCCCCTGAGCAGGGAGCCCGATGCCTGGTTGGATCCCAGGACCCCGGGATCGAGACCTGAGCTGAAGGCAGACTTTAACCAACTGAGCCACCCAGGTGACCCAGTAATGCCTGAATTCTTGTGTAACATGACGAGAAATTACGCAGCAGTTATTTAAGGCTGTACTAAACTTCTCAAACATATGTTATTTTTCCTTTCCTTTTTTTCTTCCCTTCTTAATGCCTATTAAGCAGAAATATCATTCGTCAGAAACATGTTCACAACCTTTTCCTCTTGTTCTGTGATTGTGATAAAGAACCTGAAGAAACACCAAAAGCCTTGAGTCTAAACTAGAATTAGTCATATTCCAATATCATGGTACATCAATAAGTATTAAGAAAGACCTTCAATTTTTTTTCCTGATAAAATAGAGTAATAGAGAGCTAAGTTGCATAATGTACTGTACATCTTTCTCTAACAGGATATTGAATTAGGAAACTTAAGATGAAAAAATTATCGAAGACAGAGCTGGCAGACAGAGATTGGAGAGAGAGGGGGGCTGCCATGTGTAGTGGATTTCAAATTTCAGATATTCCCCGCAGTGCAAGGTGGTGATGGTGGTACGGACTGAAGTGGGAGAGCATTGGATGGCATCTCAGGAAATCATGGACATCCAGCGGAAATGACATGTAATATTTCTGCTTATTGGAGCAGATTCAGATTACTTATTCACTTTGCAAGTTAGCTTTTCATTTGAACAATTAAAAGCCAAATTAAAAGGAGCCCCTGGGTGGCTCAGTGTGTTAAGCCTCTGCCTGCAGCTCAGGTCATGATCTCAGGGTCCTGGGATTGAGCCCTGCATTGGCCTCTCTGCTCAGTGGGAAGCCTGCTTCCCCACCTCTCACTGCCTACTTGTGATCTCTCTCTGTCAAATAAATAAATAAATAAATTTTTTAAAAAGCCAAATTAAAAGAATTAAAAATCAAGGGAAATAATGTAGTCTGGCAGCATCATTAAGAGATTACAGTTAGTGAAAGTAAAAAATAAAAAGATGAGCCAGAATTGAGACCCTCCAATGTGAGAAGAACTTTTAAGTCCGAAAGGTAATCTGAAGGACACCAGATAATGCAGACTATAAACGAGAGTTCCCCTTTTCAGGACTATATGCTGAAATACGAGTTTTGTGTTTTATAAAACAACATTTTATGAAGCCAATAACAATAAATGTGAAGATAGCAATTCCTTGTAGTGTTATGTCAATATGAGTTAAACAACAGTTTCCTAAAAAGTGGTCAACATAGAGTATGACCACAAATTTTATAATTATCTAATGGCAGTGGAAAACTTGTGGTAAATGGAAATAGTAGCATTCTTCAAAATGACTGATTCACGAGCATCCACTAACGTGCCCCACCAAAATTAAGATATAGTAGAAGGGAAACAGTGATTCACCACTTACATCTTCTTTGTGGATTGAGATTTTAGTGTACATAAAACACAAATATACAGAGCACTGAATTTTCTGTTCTTTGTATCGCAGACACAGTTTAGAAAGGTGAAAGACACATTGATTAAGACAAGCATTTCTTTTTTTTTTATAAAGATTTTATTTATTTATTTGACAGAGATCACAAGTAGGCAGAGAGGCAGGCAGAGAGAGAGGAAGGGAAGCAGGCTCCCTGCTGAGCAGAGAGCCCGACGCGGGACTCGATCCCAGGACCCTGAGATCATGACCTGAGCCGAAGCAGCAGCTTAACCCACTGAGCCACCCAGGTGACCAAGACAAGCATTTCTAAAGAAAATATTGTAGTTAGTAATAAAGTTTAGGGAATATGGAACAAGTCAGAGAAACTATGCATTAGTCATGTCATTTTTTTTAGGTTCTGTCGGTTTATTTCCAGTGACTTGACATTTTATCATTTCTAGAAACTCGACAGCAATAAAGCTGGGGTCATTCAGATTAATTCAAAACTGAAGTAATCTTCAGCTGTGCCAAAGTTGGATTGCTTTTGATGTACTATGTAATTACAGTCCCATCATCTTCTGCGTGTCTTACTTTGACGCATATGAAACATCTTAATGGCACTACCTGTACAACACAGATTAAGAAATAAAACAGGTGACAAGAAATTGTTCAGAGTCAATAAGAATATATACTTACATGCTCATCAAATATACATGCTGTGTTTAAAAGAAAAAAAAATGTTCCCATGGAAAAGGAGAAAATGACATGCACTGAATTTAGATGGAATTATAGAGATTAAATTCTAAAACTTCTTACAGATAATGCTTCCTATTAATTCCAGAGATAAAAGTATCTATTACTCAGTTATTGCCTAAATGGATCTCCCCTCAGGAAGTATGTTGTTTAAAAAAATACTTTGATTATTCTTTGGTTATTAAGACGCACACTGGGTTTGTGTATGTGGCTGGTGGCATTCACTGATACCTAAGGAAAAGGATATACAATGTTCTCCTTCCCTTTTTTCTTTGAAAAATTTCCAAGTACTGAAGAAAATACCAAAATGTCACTTACATAATAATGTAATTATGTCACTTACATGATAATTTATGAAAAAGAGATATATTTACTTAACAAAACATGAATAATATGTTAAAATCTCCTCAGAAATAAAAGTTAAAGGACTCCAAAAATATATTAAGTGAATGAATTATATAATACCATAACAACATTCAGTAATAAGAATAGCAAGTGAAAAGAAAATGGAATGATCCATTATAAATTATCTTTTGAAATA